AAAGCATGGCCCATTTCAGAATAATGTATATTATATTATTGTATTATAATTATTGATATAGCAGCAATAACAACAATGCTTCAACGTGTACAGAGATTTTTTTATTTTTTTTATTTCATTTTCATTTTTATAGACCCTATATGAAATATATTTTAAAAAGTAATTTGTATAGTAAAGTTTTAAAAGGTATATAGAATAAATCAATGCCAATTACTGCCAAGAATTTATAGCCTAAGCCAATTTGTGAAGCGTACTCCTAACTGGAGCTTTAAAATATGCAAAACTCAACAAGGGAATACATACAAAACAGCACAAAAAAGGCACAATAAAATTACCATGAGAGCAAGAAATTACAGTGTATCAACTTGTGTTTAAATTTTTAAACTCGACTGGTAAAAAGTTTCACATATTGATCCCCCAAAGAGAAAAGGGCATCTTTCTCTCACAGACATCTGTTCTCTATACATGTTGTCTTTCAAGCAAAACCTGCCATTTCTTACGTGTGTGTGGTTGCATGTATATACACGCTCAACACAAACACATTCACAATACAGTGCAGCTGGAGCTCACCACACCCTGACAAATACTTATTACGGTAAGTTTGTTTTTCATTCAAAAAGAGGTGGCAGAGAGTAGCATGCCAGGAACAGCATATTATCTTAAGACTTAATGCATCAATGGGTTTGCCACAGGGTAATACCTGTCACTCTTGTGAACTCATTTCTGTTCACATGCTAAAGGATGATCAAAATAATGAACGCCCTTTGTGTATCATAGAGCAGTTATAACTGTGACTCGGTCCAGAGTTTAGGGAGGAGTAACGGTTGAAAGGTCAAGGTTACCTCTATATACAGATCATTATATACCATATTCGATCATGTAAATGATACATTTTAAGGGGATAGCAATCCTCCAACTATCAGATCAGTCTGCTTCCCTCCTCTTTTTCAAAGCAATAAAAGTAAAGTTGACTTGACCATCAATGTATCTGCTTTTATAGAGCACCACAATGGTTCAGTGGTTAGCTTCAGCTACACAGGTTGTAATGTTTCTGCTTTCCAAAGTTCTCCAACACTTGTGAACAGTTTTATTTTTTATTCAAAATAAATTCAAAATAATAAGAAAGCGTGTTTTCTGTTCAATGATCTAGTGGCTCCCTCTTTCTGCATACTGAGCACTCATCTATTATTATCATCTGTTACAGGATGTTTGCATCCTGGAAGATCTACGTGATGAAAGGTGTGCTGGGGAAGGTGACACCTTCATAGCTGACTTGAAAGCACCATCTTCTCATTTTCACGTCCACACCTTATAAATAGAATCCATGAGATATTCTGTGCTGAAGCCACCATCATCTTCTACTTTGTCTCTTGTTTGTTTGTTTCTCGATGCTTGAGTGTCCAACATGCTGTGTTTAGTGCTCAGCTCCTGTCTCTCAAGTCCAGGCCTCCACACCAGCAGACCTGCATTTAGTGTCTGAAAGGTGTTTGTGATAACCATCATTTTCTGTCATTTGATGCATGTTAAAACAGCCCCCGTAGTTTAGACCTGTAATATCTTTCCCCCTCAGATGTCATAGCGTTTTCATTAGGCCTGGCATTGGGCTTGCTGGGGTTCATTATGGCCCTACATAACCCTTTAAAGACACACCACAAAGTCTGTCCTCAGCACTCAAGCTTACCTGAAAGACTGACATTAATGCCAATAGCGAGCTTTGTCTCTCCACACCCAGTCTTCACTAGACAGTAACTTTATCAACTACAAAGAGAAGCACAGCTCTCTGCTTTCTGCAAGTTGTTTGACTCAAACTGTAATATCAGTCATTGATTCATGATTACATTGGGTGTGGAATTAACATAAAAGTTAATTTCTCTAGATTAAAAGGTCTATGAGGGTATATGACTCACGGTGCTTGCCTGTTTACCCGGAATACACCGTCCTTGATGAATATGTCACACTTCTTTAATGACAGACCAAAGGCTTGTAGCAACCCACCCCTCACACCCAGACTGATTGATCTGGGTAATACGATGCTGCACGTCTGAAGATAAAACACAAGCATGGTGTACGTGGCGAATCTTCCCCTCTGTTGACCAGGCAGCTTTTAACCTAAACACATAAGGTGCCATTAGGTCCCCCCTATTGCCCTACCCTTGTTTGTTTTGAACAAACCTAACACTTGACGCACCAACATTTTGTGTCCAGCAAGACCTAACCCATCTAATGACTGCATGCAAATGTCTTGCAAGTGTTGCTTTGCAGGAATGACATACCACACCTCGGTGCAGTAACCACGGGGCATCCATCTGACCAGGTCACTGTCAAAGTGCGTCCTACATATCAGTGGCAGCCATGGGTCATCGGGTGGAGAGGGTATGACCTGAGAGACGGCTTTATTAGGGAGCCAATTAGTTCCCAGCCTTCCAGTAGAGAAGCATTAGAGTGAGAGGAAGAGCACCCGCTGACAGGAACAGCAGGAAACCAGATGAAGAAGTGTCATTCAAATCTTTTTCTTGTAAGCTACAAACTGATTTTAAACCTGGAAACTCTTTTATGATATTTTTGGGTTGAAATCACAGTTCCCTCACAGTTTGACTTTATGTTGCTCTACACAAGGTCATGCTGGTCATTGTGGAGGGATTACCGCTGAGAGAGTTTCTGAGACAGGCCAGCGGATGTGAGGAATCATCCATGCTGATTTAGAAGTGTCCAGAGACACGCTAGAGGTGTACGTTTTGGGGGTTGGGGTTGGAGAGAGAAGAGAAGACCCCTGGAGATGCTTTCAGAAATGGTTCCTTGCTTTTGGGGGGCAGGGTGGGTTTCTGGACTGGGACTGGCCAGTTCGTCTGAGTGGGGACTAATGAAAACAAATGATCTGACAAGGTCAAAAGGTTGAGATCAAGGCTGAAGGATTCTCCGCCCCTCTCAATTTCCAACTTCGGAGATTAATGAGGGCAGAGCAGCCATTTCTCTGTATCATTTACTCCCTGAGGCCTCTAAACCCAATGGCAGTGGTGTGCACCCCACCTGTTGGCCCATTAAGGCCTTATGACACTGAGGGAATCACTGCTGACTCCAGGCTGTAACTGCTCTGTCCTGTTCACAGGAGCATTTTTTGTTGTCGTGGCTTGACACAAAGCCACAAAGTCTTGTGTCCAGTGTTACTTTTGACATTACAGACACAAGATAGATGATTCTCTTAAGCTGCTTTGAAAAACTCCACCTCCTAAAATATTGTTGTAGTAGCTTTTACCATGTAACTAACGAACGTGCTTTTTAATTTCACAGTTGTTGGAAATACTGTGATCAACTCAGCAGATAACATACACCAAGACAAGCGCAGCCATAGCATTTTATTTGGCATGTCATTGAACTGAGCAGATAACATACACCAAGACGAGCGCAGCCATAGTATTTTATTTGGCATGTCATTTGTGTTTGAACACATTACATGGCAACAGATAGGCTGATTAAACAACCCAGTCATGGTGTTGCAGCTGGTGCTTCACGCTGCAGTGCTGAATAGGTTTATAAGACAAGACTGCACCCTTCTGGACATTTAACCTAAAGGCAGCACAGAGTCTAAACATACATCACAACAATGTCAGAAACGTGTCTTTTGACTTTCTGAAAGGAAAAAACAACCCTTTTAAACTTCACATTTTCAGCATATTACATGCACTAATGTAGAATATTATATGAAAGAAAAATATATTTCAAATCAGTATTTATTATTCTTATTATAAATATAATTCACATTACGATCACCACATCCTTCACCAAAGTATATAATAGATATTTTATTAGTTCTTTAACTTGCTCTTTAGATTTAAGAATGAATTAGTTCCACTTTTTACTGTTAGCTGCATTGTTAGATAAAGGACACTAGATGGCGGTGTTAGCCAGGTTGACTCACAGCAATGAAGGTTTTAGTGGACTCTAACTACCACCTTTGTGTGGACATGGTCTTTGTCGCACTGTTTCAATGGGGCGTAACATGATAGAGCATGCACATTTGACCACATTAGTGTAATCACTGACAACATGCAAAAATATAAATACCTCTCTCAATAAAGATATAAAACATTAAACATATTAAACATAATTTGTTTTAGTTATTGCACTTTTAATGACCACAGAAACAATTGAAACAATCAGATTCAGCCGTTTCCCCACACACTTGGTTTAATCTCTTTGTATTCACTGTTTGAGCAACATTATAGCTATCTCCATTATTGTAGTCTGTTGATGAAATATAGACTAATAAATTATATTAAACACACACAGACACGTATTAGAATAAATGCCTCTTTGATCACGCCTCATAGCCCTCTGGGAACCGGCAAGATTGGATTCTTTATTGAGCATCAGCCTTGATTTACTACATTTCCCACACTGCATTGCTGCGCAGCCGCTACTTGTCACTGCTGTCGCTCTCTCCCTGTGAGTGCCCGCGGTGAATTGGTCCAGCATCCATACGCAGTCAGTGGGGCAAATGTAGATGTAGAAATATCATTTGAAAATATGTAATCGTGGGATAAGTTCTCGGCGTTGGCAGTTTGCGATGAGGGAAGGAAAATATGGCAGATTGGATCTTGTGTTGCGCCTCTGTGGAGCACCGACCGTTATATTGAGAGAAATAATGCGGAATATTTCCCCCTGTAGGTGTTAACGCAGAAAATACAAGATGAAGAAGCAATTCAATCGGATGCGACAGCTCGCCAACCAAACGGTGGGAAGGTAAGCAAACCCTTTCCGTGCGCTATTCTCGCCGGGCCAAGTCAAAGGAAAGAGAAACCCCCTGTACGGCC